ATTTGATTTAAAAGCATGTTAATGAATGAGAACAGAAGTAAAACGTTTATCTGATCTGGAAGAGGAATAAGAGAAAAAGCACATTCTGGTACTAGATATGAAACTAAGTGTTTCGCACTTAAAACGGTACTAAAGGAACACCACGTACATTTAATGTGTAAAACTGTCATTATTCAAAAATATATAAATACACCATATTAACTTGATGAGTTTAGCTGTATTTATGTAATGAATTATAACCGCCTTACGATAGACGCACAGTAGGAGAACCTGTAGACTCCACTGTTTGCTAACTGTATATACCGTCTTGAGCCCTTCATTTGAGTTGTTTGTATGGCTTGTAGCATGTCTAATAAAATAAAATATCAGACAATGCAATATGTACTATGTGAATGGAAATGGGACAATAAAAGACATGAATTATATAAATATACCGATAAAAGGTCATTATGAATAAAACAACAAGTCATCAAAACAAGAAATAGCCTGCAAATAGAAAGGTGTGTCTGGATTACACTCTCAAGTTATAACCGTATTGTTGGTCATCGGGTACATCAACCGATCTCACCTGTTAAATGCACAGTGATCAAATATCTAAAATAACATAACGCCGAAATCATATTGGAATCATAACGCCGAAATTATAATGGAATCAAAACGCCGAAATTATAATGGAATAATACCATAGAAATACACAAGGACAATTTTGTCTGTTCGTGTGAAATGAACTGTGGTGTCTTGGCGATCCTACCCATGTCATAGTTCAGGACAGTTAGGGATGCCCAGTGAACCAAGTTTAATACAGGTTGTTCTTGTACTTTAAGATTAATAAACAAAAATTAGCCGGCATACCTTATCACCCACCGTGAAATATTCGGATTTGTATCGGTAATCTACTCCGATCGACAAGTGAGGCTTGTAATTCAATTACGTGACTGAAGATCGTATGCGACTGTGTACTATGTCCTACGTTTTAATAAGGGTTCTCAACTTTCGATATTGAATACTTTTAAAATATTCAGTTATTTTTTCACGATCCTAAGATCATTTACTTTTTAAGTACATTTGCCGACCAAGACGTCACAGGAAAAGTGCAAACAAACGGTTTACGTATATCGTTATGTATTGTCTCCCAAATGGTCACCTAATTAATTTGACAATGGTTGATATATACATACACATGTGTCTATAGCGCATCGACAATACACCGGTTATCATATAAACATGTTGACAGTGTGTCTATAGAGCATCGACAATACACCGGTTATCATATAAACATGTTTACAGCGTATCACCTGCCTTTATGCCGTGTGTTGTTTCTCTGCCTAACCCTTAATCCAGGATTGGAACATCTCGGATAAATGGTAACAAAACCCATTCCGGATTAACGTGTTACGGTGGTTATAAACGTTGTATATAGTCACTATAATGCGCGCGTGCTGTGAGCTGGACTGATCACAACCACCTGTCAACCCCCTTCACCGATCCCCCTCCCACCAACGGCAGATGGAAGAAGGGGGTCAAAGGTTATACGTACTCTTCAAAGATTTCCTTTGATGAGTGAAGTCTTAATTTGTTTTCAATATGTTTTAATTTTTAGTTACGTATACAATTACATCTTCATCAAGTTGGGATCGACATCAAAACGCACGTTCTTACAAAATACAGTCTGTGTTAACAACTATGAACACGCCAAATTACTCCAAAATCAAAACAAGATGTTTAAATTAGTGTGAGAAAACGTACATCCATTGAAACGCATGTGAGCTAACTATAACATAACTGGGTACAATCCCTAGCGATCCCGTTTTACTATCTTAAAAGGGCGCTTTTCTAAAGAAATGATGCGTTGGTGTGGTCGCGAAACCTTTCGATAGTAGACCATCGAACACTACTAGACTATCGAACACACCACACCACATGATACATGTAGCTACAAAAACTATGTTAACCATTCTTATAGGTTGACTTGTACTAAACAGATTGCACCCGAACTGTTTGTCCAAGCTACTGGAGGGATTTTCAAGTTTACATTTCGTTGGTCAAAACCGATAGCTGCCTGACGAGGTTTACCTAAGTAAGTCGATTTTTACTTTTTTTATTTTTATTTCAGCGTCATAATAAATAAATGTTCTACAGTATGTTGGTCTTCATTGAAAACTGATGTACAATTTGTCAGCAACGTTCTAACAGACATATCCTTCAGTTGTCAAACATTATGTGGGAATAAGTCACAACAGCACATTTGTAACGGGGATTTTTGAATGTAGGGGGCTAAGCAACCTTGATATTCACGGGGTTACGCCCCTGGAATATCGAGGATGGGACCAAGAGATAATTTAAATATCTCATGAAGGTAATTTTACAATGTGTTCAACAAAGGCGGTTTCTCTAAACCGACTGTCCGGTCCCGGGTCCAGCCCTATCAATCTTAAGAGACACTAACTTCTCACTTGCCAGATCGGCGCTTGTCCGGTTGAATTTGTTGATTTTTGTCTTTTGGCTATGCAATAGTTTTTGTCCTGTTAATATGCTATCTCTTCCTGTTTGTAGTTTATGCCCTAAAAGCTTCGGGAAATATTTATTATTTTCAGCGAACAGTTACCTTTGCCGCAAGACGCATAAACGTGAACTTTGCTATGGAACATGTTTACATAATTGTTTGTTTGTTTGAGGTTTAACATATCTTTACATGTCATATCAAGACAGCGCAATACAACTACGTGACAAATGTAACAAATGGGATTTTGACCTTGCATATATGCTACCGGTGCCTTTATTTTAAAACGATTCTTTCCTGCGGTGGAAAGCCAGGGATTGACTCGATAGAAAGCGCCGGAGTGACTCACAATTAAGCACGTACTTCCTCTTCAGTCTGGTGGGACGTGACTTTTTATCCAACAACACTCTTCAGGAATATCACCGCCCCCACCCACTCGCCGGGGACTTGCCCGCAAATGTGGATATATCTGTTCTAGTGCACGTTCCCTTAGACTAGTGTCACACTAGAAAATAATCAGCCTCTCTTTCCACTCACACGGACGGACAAGAATATCAATTATTTTTTCCATTTTTTTTCTTTATCATTCCTTCTATATTGAAATACGATATTCAAGTTATGCTGTCCACAGATACATTCTTTAAACGCAATAACTGTATTAACATGATACTTTAGATCCTCTTTTTTTCTGATCTCAATGATAATTCAAAGCAACTTGTGTTTAAAATACAATCTAATGACGATGTTAGCCGCGAAAATGTCCACTTTTACTGCATACAGTTTTTGTCTAGACCTAGGAACAAAGTCAGTTGGGGCGAGGCTGACTCAGGGACAAATCTTGGTACGGGTAGTATATGGTTATGTCCATCTCTAATGCCTAGTAATTGTGTATATGGTTACAGGACAGAGGTCCCAACTGTTTCATTGTGATTTCTCTGGGACAACTTACTAGTCACCAAGGGCAGGGTTGGACCCGGGAGAAATCCTGGTAGCATGATTTATTTGTCTTTTCATGTCTAGCAGTTGTATTTACACTTACAAGGTTATGACCTAAGACTTAATCCCATATTACTATAGGATGAGGATCTCAATACGTCCACGCTACTGTAAACATATTTATTTTAGCACTGATATTTTAACACATCATCAAATTTCAACATATTGGGCATTGAGTTTTGGTAGACCCACAAAGTATGCGAAAGATAACATCATAGGTGGACTTCAATGAGCCCATTGATTATTTAACGCAATTTTTAACGTGCAGAAAGCGCTAAAATAAGACTACCACTAAAATAAGTATGTTTACAGTATTGTCCAGACACACAAAGTCCACCTACACTATTTGAAGCAGTTGTTAGATCTATACCTTAGTATATGGACCTTTGTCACAAGTCTTTCATGTTATGAAAATAGCTAGTTATAGTACTACATTTGATTACTTAAGATTGATAATCATCCTTTAACAGATTCACTTAAGGACTTCCCACCCTTCGTAATACACATGTTTTTCATGTCGTATTTCTTTTCATTATTTTATTGTTGTAATAGTTTTGAACAATGCCACACACTCAATTTTTCAGTATTTTTTACAAAAAAATCCTGTGTGTCGGAATGCTTAGATTTTCATAAAATCATCTCTACATATTGACATTACCATTATGTGAAATTTTCATTGAATTCTGTTGGCTAATTGCGAAACGGTGGAGCCACCTTAAAATCACACACTTGGTGTAAGAAACAGGGCCAGAAAGTGGAGCCAGTAGGGCATAAATAGGTTGATATCTTATTGTAATTTACCATGTGAGCAAGTTACCATCTATCAAGAATATTTGCAATATAGATATCCACTGATTTCTGAGGCTCCTTCTGGTAATAAAGCTTAACAGAACACCCGGTAATTATTCTTGGTATATCGACATTTACAAGGTAAACAGTAAATATGACACTGGAATTGTGTATTTGCCCTAAATATATTCAGTAGCAACGATGACCAGGAAAAGGAAAGAAAGCATAATAATAGAAATCATCTCAAATATGAAAAATGTGCCCTGAAAACTAGTCACAGAAAGTTATTTATGATTATAAAAGAAAAGTTAAATTTAGCGTTAGGAAGAACATTTTATAAGAACTTGTTGTAACCATTTAGAAGAACATTCCTTGAAGTGTATAGACAATAGGAAGAATGACACTAATGGCTGACTGTAGCATTAAGTAGAATGTCTTTAAAGTGTGATTTTACCATTTGCAAGATCATTCTAAAATGTTGACAACATTAGGAAAACATCTAAAATGTTAACAACATTAGGAAAACATCTAAAATGTTGACAACATTAGGAAAACACTATGTGTATGCATTTGTTTGCAACATTACAGCAATATATTTTTAATATTTCTTTAATAACTAAACAATTGAATACATTGGTGATATTTTCCCAAGAAGAAGCACAGCTGATGTCATCATGGAACAGATATTAATCTCATTTTTCCCACTTCAAGGGCAAATTTGCAAGTAAATTATTTTCTATCAAAAAACAGCTGCATTTTTTTTTTTATCTTTGTTTAATTTCTTTCTGTGTAAACACTTAAAATCAGTCAACACCCATTTTTTGTACAAAACTGTTTTATTTCCAGCACAGAAGCTAGCATTTTGTTCAGCTCTTTGTTACATGTTGATAACATGCACAAATGATTTACATGGAACTTCCTGTGGTCCTTTTTTTTTGAAAAACGGTGTAGTAAGCCACCTGTTAAATTCTTCGTACTGAAGGAAAACAAGGAGGGCTAGTTAATACGCACCCAGACATGGTCACCTGGCTCTGGCCAGGAGAGGTTTACATACACCCAGTCAGACAGGATTACCCGGAGCTGGCGAATGTATATATGTACTCAAACATGCTCACCTAGGGCTAGCCATGACAGGTGCGAATGAGGCATCCAGACATATCAGACCTGTTCTCATGGCTGTTAGATTTCAGGTGCACTTGGACCTCAAATTGGTTAGACAGGGTCACCTTTGGGCTGGTCAATGAGGGCAGAACATGTAACCAGACACAGTAAGATAGGGTTTCTTATGTCACTAAACATTTTCCGTATCGTAATAATTGTAAAATAAATAATGTTTATCTGTCTAAGGTTCTAAGCACCCCTGGAATATGTCAGGACAAAAACTAAGACTCTCTCTAGGTATCACCTAGACTGGCTACCATCCCCTAAGTGTTTATGAAACATTTCTCAGCTGCCTTTTACTACTGGCTTATCTCCCCCTAGTTTAGAACTTAGTTTAGTCTAGAATCAGACATCCAAGTGATCAAAAATTATTAGAGTTTTATTTTTTTCTTAATTATTTAATATTCTAGAGACGGTGGCCAGTCTACGTATCACCCTGTATATGATATGAGTACACTACTTTGATTCTTTGATGTACACAAAAGAACCACACCCAAGTGTTGCAGGGATCAACCTAGCGATTGGTCAGTTTTTTCACCTGAAACTAATCAAATGGCTAACTACATGACTTCGATTTTAAATTTGTCATGACATATTCCAGGGTGCAGAGAACGAAAGTGAGCGTAACCTCTTGAATTTCATGAATGTCATTAGGAAGACAATCAAAAATAATATGTCCAATAATTTCAAAAAAATTAAAAGAAAACAAATTTCCATGAGAGGATGTCCTAATGAATGGGTTGATCAGTTACTACAATCTGAAACAAATGTTCAGGAATTTACATGTCTGATCAATTTTGCTTCAGCAGAAACATGGCTGTATGATAAAAGTTCTAATGAGAGCTGTCTATTTCTGTACCACAATACAGTCAGACTGTGGTATATCCAAATATAAGTGTCCTTTCATCTCGCTACAGACAACATCTGTTGGTTGAGTCCCACCTTTAGAGAAGTCTACCTCTGCCCACAGAGTCTATTGATTCAGCGGCACACAAACTTTACCTCTGCCCTCAAGAGTCTATTGATTCAGCGGCACACAAACTTTACCTCTGCCCACAGAATCTATTGATTCAGCGGCACACAAACTTTACCTCTGCCCTCAAGAGTCTATTGATTCAGCGGCACACAAACTTTACCTCTGCCCACAGAGTCTATTGATTCAGCGGCACACAAACTTTACCTCTGCCCACAGAGTCTATTGATTCAGCGACACACAAACTTTACCTCTGCCCACAGAGTCTATTGATTCAGCGGCACACAAACTTTACCTCTGCCCACAGAGTCTATTGATTCAGCGGCACACAAACTTTACCTCCCTTGCTATCAGGAAGTTTCAGTTTCCCCCCATACAGGAAATCTACTCCCTCTCCCCATTTTGTACAATGGAAATCTCATCTACACAGAAAATCTTGCTATTTAATTCACAGGAATTAGCTCCACAATACAAAATCTATCCTCATCCCTCTTCTTTGTTATATCATGTTCAATAGATTAAGCCTATCATGGTCAATAGAAAGGTTCTGCTCCCCTACCAGAGGTTTTGTCCCTCCTCATTCACAGGTACTCTCACCTAGCCCTCCTCATTATTCACAGGAAGCCTCAGCTCCCCAATACAGGAACTTTCCCCTAGCCCTCCTCATTATTCACAGGAAGCCTCAGCCCCCCAATACAGGAACTCTCCCCTAGCCCTCCTCATTATTCACAGGAAGCCTCAGCTTCCCAATACAGGAACTTTCCCCTAGCCCTCCTCATTATTCACAGGAAGTCTCAGCTCCCCAATACAGGAACTCTCCCCTAGCCCTCCTCATTATTTACAGGAAGTCTCAGCTCCCAAATACAGGAACTCTCCCCTATCCCTCCTCATTATTCACAGGAAGTCTCAGCTCCCCCGATACAGGAATTCTCCCTTAGCCCTCCTCATTATTCACAGGAAGTCTTGGCTCCCCTACGTGAAATTACCTCCCTTCCTCATTGATAACAAAAAGTCTTTCCTATCCTGCCTCATTGTACACAGGAAGCCTTGTCCTCATTATTTTAAGGATGTCTCCCCTAGCCCTTCTCAATATTCACAGGAAGATCTCCAAGCCCTCCTTGATATTACGGAAGACTCAATTCCCCCACAGGAAATCTACCCCAGTCCCCACAAGAATTAAGTCTTAGCCCTCCTGTGTCTCGCCCTCCTGTGTCTCGCCTTGTACCCATTTAGGAGTAGTCAAAGTTTGTTTATCACGTCCACTGCCAATCTTTACGTTATCCTGATCCATTTTGTTGTAGCGTCGTTGCGCATTCATCCATTTCTGTCGCCGTTTTAGATCTCCCACTTCCTGCACTGACCCTTCTCCAGCGCCACCTGATCCCAGTCCTGCTGACTTGTTGGCACGGAACTTGACAGAGATCTGCAACGGAAACGGGACATATAAACACAAAGACATGTGTCAAACACTCAATCTCTGTAACTAGCACTTCTCTTTACCCTCCTTACTTAATATCTTATAAACCTGTAAAACATTAATAAGCAGACTTGGCAGTCGTGTGTATATGTGCGCTGTGTATAGAGATGGGGCAATATATAACTGCTGCCCAACTTCTCCATGTTGCATGTTTATTTCACATCTAATACCATTACGTAGAAATTATGCTGAATACATCAATACATTTGTTGGCAGAGCTGATAATGTCTTTAATGATCAAGTGTCAAGTGTACACTTCCTATGTTCAACTTCTATGTCTAATTTCTATAGGTAATGATGTAGAACACCTTGTTAAGTTGTCAGAGATTTGTTTATGTCTCTGCCAGACACACAAATGATGGCTCGGCCAGAACCTCAAACCTCAGCATAACCTGCAGGCTTCTATAGCCAAGCTATTTTGGTGCACATTCAATAAACCTTATTTACAGGACTGGACCAGAAAAACTAACAACAATTTGTTCCATCCAAGGGCAGACTAAAAACAGGACACAAAGACCAACTTGTCCACCTTAGGACTTGATATATTGGACACTGAATGCCAACTTATCCCAATATTGGACATAGTAGGACACAAAGACCACCTTGTCCCCCCTAGGACATATTGGACATGGACACTGAATGCCAACCTGTCACAATGTTGGACATAGTAGGACACAAAGACCACCTTGTCCCCCCTAGGACGTACTGCGCATGGACACCAATGCCAACTTGTCCCAATATTGGACATAGTAGGACACAAAGACCACCTTGTCCCCCCTAGGACATATTGGACATGGACACTGAATGCCAACCTGTCCCAATGTTGGACATAGTAGGACACAAAGACCACCTTGTCCCCCCTCGGACGTACTGGGCATGGACACCAATGCCAACTTGTCCCAATTTTGGACATAGTAGGACACAAAGACCACCTTGTCCCCCCTAGGACATATTGGACATGGACACTGAATGCCAACCTGTCACAATGTTGGACATAGTAGGTTACAAAGACCACCTTGTCCCCCCTAGGCCATATTGGACATGGACACTGAATGCAAACCTGTCCCAATGTTGGACATGGTAGGACACAAAGACCACCTTGCCCCCCCTCGGACGTACTGGACATGGACACCAATGCCAACTTGTCCCAATATTGGACATAGTAGGACCCAAAGACCACCTTGTCCCCCCTAGGCCATATTGGACATGGACACTGAATGCCAACCTGCCCCAATGTTGGCCACAGTAGGACACAAAGACCCCCTTGTCCCCCCTAGGACATATTGGACAGGGACACTGAATGCCAACCTGCCCCAATGTTGGCCACAGTAGGACACAAAGACCCCCTTGTCCCCCCTAGGACGTGCTGTACAGGACCCTGAATGCCAACTTGTCCCAATATTGGACATAGTAGGACACAAAGACCACCTGGCCCCCCCCCCCCCCCCCCCCCCTAGGACGTACTGGGCATGGACACCAATGCCAACCTGTCCCAATGTTGGACATAGTAGGATACAAAGACCACCTTGTCCCCCCTAGGACATATTGGACATGGATACTGAATGCCAACCTGTCCCAATGTTGGACATACTACCTGGACACCAGTGGGATATCAATGGCAAACACCTCTCCATAAGACATTTGTTCAATCTCTAGGATATACTGCACCAGAATATCAAGGATTTTGGCTCAGGGCAACAAGAGCTGGTCCCTACTTGTCAATACGGACCAGGACACCAAAGCCAGCTTCTCCTATTACCAACGCCCAAGGACATGCTAGACCAGGACACAAGACCTATTTGTCGTAATAAGACGTAATAGCCCCACATTTCATACCTGGTCATGCTGAAAATTGCCTTAACCAAATTTTGGTGTTTAGTCCATTTTTAAGGAATTGATCTCCTGTTTGATACTTGCTAAATAGATTTTACGGGGAAAAAGCTCTGATGTAGGTAAAAATAAAACCCTGTTGATGTTACAGAGTACGTACATGTCCAAGGTAATGGGTTAACCGAGGCCACGAGAGACAGGTGCTATTGGTATATACCAGGTCATATATGGAACATCAGACAAAAATTACTGGTACATACAAAACAAGAGATCCCAGACGGATCTTGGCGCCCACCATTGTACCATCTTCATTAGTTCTACGTCAGTTTGATTTTTTCTCTTATCTCTTTCTCTTAATCAAGTCAAGTAAACAGTAAATGCAAGGTTTCACATACTTACTAGAACAGTTCTTTAAATGTAAGAGAAATAGATCCGATCATTCCAATATCAGAAAGATCTCATAAGTACTTCCTGTGGCGATTTTGTTTACCTGATCAGTCTCAAAAGTCAACATGCACAACTAAAGACCAAGGGGAACCTTTAACATATCAAATTTGAGAAAGACCCCTCCAGAACTTCCTGAGAAATAGCGATAACAAACATTCACTGTCAAAATATAAGATGGACGCCAGTGGGCCATTTTGTTTACTCCATCAGTCTCAAAAGGAGTTCTCAAAGGTACAACTACAGACCAAGGAGAACTATCATATAAAATCTGAGAAAAATCTCTCCTGTACTTTCTAAGAAATAGCGATAACAAGAATTGTTTAAGGACGGACGACAGACGGACGGACCACGGGCGAAGGGTGATTTGAATAGCCAACCATCAGATGATAGTGGGCTAAAAACATCTTTATCTGTTTAAACTGTTTGCTACAGTTCGATAAATGTATTCAGTAGTCTATCATTAAATTACTATCTATTTCCTTATCATAATTAGTACTTACATAAAGGCATGAAAATCATTTCATCATTCATCAAGTTATTTCTGTCGTATTGGATCCAAATATGTACATGTAACAATTGATAACCCAGTGAAAACAAGTCACCCTATTAGACTGTAATGACTGGAACATTTCATTTAGTAAAGAAACATGCTGATGTATGTGATATGCTGATGTCTTAAATCTCAAACTAACATCAAACTATTGATGTTTTTGGAATTTCATTAAATATATACTTTATATCCATAACAAATAATAATGCATCTGTGATAATAAAGAAACATACTTTATTTGCAGTAACAGTGTTGAGTACAAAGAAATCCTCTGATAATTTAATTTTGGCTATTTCCTTGGTACATGTACCTGGTAATCAGCTTTTTTCAAATTATACTGTATACTGGTACATGTAATTGAAAAAATAAAGTTATGATGTCATAAACTGCAATGCCTGAGATTTGCGTAATTTTTTTTTTTCTTTTTTCCAGAAATGAATAATTACCGATTAACTATGCACCTGAAAGTGCTGTCTGTCTATTTGAATTCAAATATAAGAAATAACTTTATGATTGCTTTTTACGGTTTTAAGGTTATAAGGTACATTTATATGTATGAAATAACTGCAATTTTCTGCATGAACTCCTTTGCGGATTTATGCAAAGTGTACCCATTGGTTCTGGAATGTATTGTATGACCCTGAAATTGTCCTTAAACACTTTTATTTAATTTCCTGATCTTAATGTACAGAAATATTTCAAGACTTAAGCCCTTTCTCTAAATTCCTCGAATGTTTGAAATAGAGCATTATATTTTGATGATCTGGTGACATATCAGTTCTCAACGAGGTAGATAATACAAGTATTTCCAAACTCCCCTGAAATGACACAGCTATTTCACTTGAGAGCCACTTAGTATGAAACATTACGATTACAAGATTAGTCAATGAAATAAGAGTATAAAGTTGGTATATCACCGATAGATTTGTCAGATCACTGTCTAGCGTAAAGTCTATATCCATGTTTTACTGGGGGGCGTGAGTGTTTGACAAGCTTATATTAGAACTAGGGTCCTGATAAAAAACCATGTAGGTATTTGGAAACTATGGACTAGTAAATCTACATTGTTGTGAACAATCAGTAACAGCCATCCAGATATTTTTTTATCAATTTATATTCATTTAAATGTCTGGATATGAAGTGAGATTGTATGAAGAATGTATCAGAAAGGAATGCATCACTGTCGACACGCTAAACCATTACATCACTGTCGACATACTACACCATCACTGTCGACATGCTACACCACCACTGTCGACATGCTACACCATCACTGTCGACACGCTACACCATCACTGTCGACACGCTACACCTTCACTTTCGACATGCTACACCATCACTGTCGACATGCTACACCATCACTGTCGACATGCTACACCACCACTGTCGACATGCTACCCCATCACTGTCGACACGCTACACCATCACTGTCGACACGCTACACCATCACTGTCAACAGGCTACACCATCACTGTCGACATGCTACACCATTACTGTCGACATGCTACACCATCACTGTCGACATGCTACACCATCACTGTCGACATGCTACACCACCACTGTCGACATGCTACACCATCACTGTCGACACGCTACACCATCAGTATTTTTTAAATAAGTTTCATACGTAGTTCATTAAGGATTGCCAAGATATGTAATTGTGTGCTTGTCACTCACTAATAATTACATTGAAGACAGTTGATGTACATGTATGTATATTATTTCGTAATTGTCTCTGACAGTTCCTCTTTAGCGCCAGTAATTCCTGCGTATTAGTCCGTACAATTTACCCCTAACAAACGTGTTTATACTTGTGACAATGAATTGTTTTCATTAACAGTAATAACCTAATTAACAATCTAACCAACTATTCAGATATTAAAGGCCAGTATTATTCTACACTGACATAATTACACACACTAATCAGGGTTAAATCAGATACACTCTTATTTTAAAATGTTGAGCACATATTTTGGAATAAACCAAACTAGAAATGTAAACCAAAGGCTAACTTATATCCCCGCTGCTATATAAACTGAACTGTAAGTTAAAGTCTTACTAAGGCAAAGCATTGCAAAGCAATCCAGTCTCCCACCAGTAGTTGGTATTTCGCACAAAG